AAATGAAAACACTAATACACTTTCTAAACCCTACACTCTCATATGTTCGATCACATTAATCCCGTATCCAAATTTGTTTGGCCTGCCCCTATTTCCGGAAATGTCATCGAAGAAAATCTCGTCTCGATCGTTGAGGAATTTTTCTGCATTTTTTCAGCCTCAAATTCGATTTTTAATTGAATATTTAAGTGCAAATGATTCAAAAATACAAAACTTGGCGTGTGGCGGCATGGGAATGCGCTGCGTGGCGATCAGGCATGCAGCTCCCCACTCCAGCGCCTCCACTTGGTAGTTGTTGTATATTTTATTCTTTTCTTTTTTTTTCCAAAAATCGTTAAAAATGCTTAAAAATTAAGGAAAAAATTGGGAAATTTCCTAACTCTGTCTGGGGATGAATACTTTATAGGGAAAGTACAAAACCTGGTTTAGGAGCGAGTGAAAAATAAAATTAGGGGTTGAACCCTACAGTAGGATGATGTAAATGAAAACACTAATACACTTTCTAAACCCTACACTCTCATATGTTCGATCACATTAATCCCGTATCCAAATTTGTTTGCCCTACCCTTTTTCTAGAAATGTCATCGAAGAAAATCTCGTCTCAATCGCTGAGGAATTTTTCGGCAATTTTTCACCGTCAAATTCGATTTTTAATTGAATATTTAAGTAGAAACTATTAAAACTTACAAAACCTGGCGTGTGGCGGCATGGGAATGCGCCGCGTGGCGGTCAGGCTTGTAGCTCCCCACTCCAGCGCCTCTACTCGGCATTTGATGTATATTTTATTCAGTTTTTTTTTCCAAAAAATGTTTAAAATGCCTGAAAATTACGGAAAAAATTGGGAAATTTCCTAACTCTGTCTGGGGATGAATACTTCATAGGGAAAGTACAAAACCTGGTTTAGGAGTGAAAAATAAAATTAGGGAATGAACCCTACAGTCGGATGATGCAAATGAAAACACTAATACACTTTCTAAACCCTACACTCTCATGTTTTCGATCACATTAATCTCGTATCCAAATTTGTTTGCCCTGCCTTTTTTCCGGATATGTTATCGAAGAAAATCTCATCTCGATCGTTGAGGAATCTTTCGGCAATTTTTCACCCTCAAATTCGATTTTTTATTGAATATTTAAGTGGAAACGATTAAAAAATAAAAAACCTCGCGTGTGGCGGCATTGGAATGCGTCGCGTGGCGGTCAGGCTTGCAGCTCCCCGCTCCAGAGCCTCCACTTGGCAGTTGTTGTATATTTTATTCAGTTGTTTTTCCAAAAATTGTTAAAAATAATTGAAAATTATGGAAAAAATAGGAAAATTTCCTAACTCTGTCTGGGGATGAATACTTCATCGGGAAAGTACAAAACCTGGTTTAGGAGTGAGTGAAAAATAAAATTAGGGAACGAACCCTACATTCGGATGATGCAAATGAAAACCCTAATACACTTTCTAAACCCTACACTCTCATTTGTTCGATCACATTAATCTCGTATCCAAATTTGTTTGCCCTGCCCTTTTTCCGGAAATGTCATTGAAGAAAATCTCGTCTCGATCGTTGAGGAATTTTTTGGCAATTTTTCACCGTCAAATTCGATTTTTAATTGAATATTTAAGTGGAAACTATTAAAAAATACAAAACCTGGCGTGTGGTGGCATGGGAATAAGCCGCGTGACAGTCAGGCTTGTTGCTCCCCGCTCCAGCGCCTCCACTTGGCATTTGTTGTATATTTTATTTATTTATTTATTTCCAAAAATCATTAAAAATGCCTGAAAATTATGGAAAAAATTCGGAAAT